GGGGCATTAGTCATATAGTTCATGAATTCAATATAATTTTTATAGTCATTTATTTCAATCACAAAAATCTTCTACATGCACCATAGCATCAAACTATCATGTTAAATTATCGTAATTAATTTTGTGATAATTGACGTTGAATTTGATAAGGAGAACTACGATTCGATTTCCCACAAAATCTTTTATATATATTGAAAATAAAAAAACTTCCTTTTAAAATAAATTGATTCACACTTTACATATATATATATATATATATATATATATATATATATATATATATATATATATATATATATATATATATATATATATATATATATATATATATATATATATATATATATATATATATATATATATATATATATATATATATATATATATATATATATATATATATATATATATATATATATATATATATATATATATGTATATATATATATATATATATATATCCAATTTGAATCTAATTTAAGGATGTGACATTTTAAATGACATGATAGAAGGTTTAAGTGGAAAAATTAATGTATATGCTATTATTTATTAATTGTTTATACACTAAATCATTAATATTGTTTTAATAATTTCATTAAAACAAAATAACAATCGTGTATTTTTTTAATTAGGGATGTTTTGTTCTCAAACCAGAATTAGATGTTCGTTAAAGGTGAGAAATCTTGAATCGTTTATGCTAATCTTAGATACGACAGAATGGGGGTGGACCTGTAATGTTAGCACTCAAACACTAAAATCAGTTTAGAATTCAAGATGTGTGTAGTAAAAAGTGGAGATCAGAAAGTGTATTTTGAATATCTCTTGTGATTGCTTTTATACCTTGGGTCGTTTGGAGTGGATTGACCATTGGCTTTTCGGCCTTTGGCCGATCTAGAACTATTTCCCCTAAGGCTTGTCCAACGATTATTGGTTGGAGAAGTCTAAGTAGTCGTGTTGGCCACTACAGATGTCGCTCACTTTAGATTAGAAGTGGAAACACTTTTCTTCAGTTTGTAAAAGTAGTGGGGAACAGGCGTATTAAATGTTTTCTCATCATTGAAATGTTTGACTCATCCTCCTGAGTGTGTGGCCCTAGGGGTATAGATTAGGGTCTGATTTCCTCCATTAACCCCTATTAATATTTCTTTTCCCAAATTAGTTAAGTTCTTATACTTTATTTCCCACATAAACCTTCCACTAGAACCTGGTATTCAGGCTCCCTCCGACTTGGTTCTACCCCATAGTCTAACTCTATAGCTTTACAATTCTCATTCTTTGGACCGTTAACAATGTTACTAATAAACCTTTCACTAGAACCTAATATTAAGGCTACTTGACGAGATAACTTCCCTATCTGCATCTCTAAATTTTGTATTGATGTTTCATGGTTCTTGCTCATGATCTCATGTTTCTTATTTACCTGTTCAAAATTGCTTTAAGTTACCTGAATGTATTTGTTAAGAGTTTCTTCTACTGGTGAAGGTTTCCTCTAGAATGGAGCTTGTTGTGCTTGTTGAGTACCTTGATTTATCAAGGTTTGATGATTGCCCCATTTGAAGTTGGGATGATCTTTCTAACCTGGGTTGTAAGTGTTGGAGTAGGGATCTTCTGAAAATTGGAAAATTAAACTTCTTCACTTGGGCCTCCTAGATAACACATCTCATTCGCATGTGCTTCTCCGTATAAATCACATTTCAAGAGTTGTACATGGCTTACATAGGCTTAATTAAGGTTACTTTATGTCAATCTCTTATTTAGGAGTTTGATTTGAGTTAGTTGTTCAGTATGAGCGTCTAAAGTTAACACACCCTTCGGTGTACATGTTGTTTCAACTTTGACTCCTATTTCACTCTTTGACTGGTATTCGTTCAAGCAAACCTTCTAAACTAATTCTTTTACCTTTCATTTGGTCAAGGTTCGAATGTTACCTCCAGCTGAGGCATTCAATACCTGACTTTTGAGCCCTTTGATGAAATTTTGCATTTGTTCCATGTTTCTCATGTTATGATTCGGACAACTTCATAATAACTGTTTAAATCTCTCCCATGAATCATACAAAAAAAAGTGATGGTGAAAAACCTCTCCAAAAAATTTGTCTTCAAACTCTTTACATGTACCAATGGTGTCATTGGGAAGACATAACTAGTCTTTAGCTATCCCAATCAATGAGAAACTAAACAACCTCAACTTTATATAATCTTCACGCACGCCAATTGGTCTGCACATTAATGTTGTTTCATAAAAGCGACGTAGATGTGCCTATGGATCACTAATTGTGTTTCCATCGGTCAAATTGCCCCTTAAACCTGAAAGCACCGAATTTTTAATTTCTAAAGTCATAGGGTCAGCGGGTACGAAACCTATATAAATTTGCACTGCATCGGTTCATTTATAGTAATCCCCCATGGTTTGAGCTGGTGGAGCCGCCATGGTAGCTTTCGTCTTTTTGTAACCCCTTTTCTTGTTTTTGCTATTTTTTCCAATTCTCTTCACTTGGTAAATTTTGGCTATTCCTTGGCACTTTTGCTTCAGTTTTACTTGATATTTCACCGAAATCACTCTAAATACTTGCTAAAAACATGTAATAACAAAGTGTCATCACTTCTCTTCTATGGTTATGTGTCGAGATATGAAGTTCTTAGAGATTTTGTAGCCATAAGCCTAGCTAAATGGATTCCTGGTTACTTTTTCTTGAGATATACTTAATAGTTGTATCATTGAATTTTAAAACAACTTGGTGGCCATTTCATAATATCCTGGAAATTTGTGACTAACAAATTTATATTTAGAGGCATCATCACCAAAGGTTTTACTAGGTGTTTCTTTATTTGGTTGAAATCTTCTTGATGTTAATCCTCTCAAATGAACTCTTGTTCGACCTTGAATTTTTCCCTTAGTTTGAAAACTACAGTTCTTCCTAACAAGTATAAAATGAACCTTATTAATAATTTAACCATACCTAGGAAAAGTTAGGGTTCCTTTTTGTTTGTCGGAGTGGCATCTCTATTACAACTTTAACTTTATTTTTGGATAATTTATTCCTTTCTTATGAATCAGAAACCTATAAAACTTTATAGTTGACACTCTGCTACATTCAATTTTTTTTTGAGATTCATTGTAAGGTTGTGTTTTCTCATTATTTCAAATCTTACCTCAATTGATCAAAATGATGTTTCTACCTACTAGACGTGATAACCACTCATCAATGTACACTTCCATAAAATTTCTAATCACATAATGGAATATGGTGGCATGGCCTATTAGTATGTCACTCTTGAATTCTTCAAATCAAAAGGCAATATGGTCCACTCATATGTCCCCATTAACCCTAAACATGTGAAAGCAATTTTGTGGACATCTTCCTTGTTTATGAAGATTTAGTTAAACCCTGCTTGAACATTCATAAAACTCAAGGTTTTAGGTCTAAACTATGCATCAATGAATATGTCACCCAAGAATTATAGGTATTTGTCTTTGGGTTTTGCTTGATTTAGGTCTCTAAAGTCCAAACACACACAAGTTACCATTTTTTTTTACTATAAGTACCACATTTCCCAACCATTCAACATGCTTGGGGTGTTGTTATGAACTTTTCTTTCAAATCCTCTATATTTCAACTTTGATATTCAAAAAGACCTTAGAGACAAACCTTTGATTGGTTTACATAAAAAGATAAAATCCCTCTTTCAAAGGCATTCTGTGTTTGACAAGGTTATTCTTTGCATAAAGGAACTTACGTAAATGGGTATTTTATCATAAAGAGTATCAAAGTTAATTTTCTCTAATGGTTATTCAATTTCTAAGTTGTGCTTTTACTCTAGCCCTTTTTGAAATCTCTAATGGATATCATCTATAATTCAATATATAATCATATAATCACATAATCAATGATGTGTACTTCTCTGTCATCCTCATTAAGGGCTTACATCCCTTCATCACGATCTTTATGATTCATCATCTTTTGGGTGATTTTCGAATGCCTATTTATTTAGTGTAACTCCAACAGAGAGTTCAAATATTATGATGAAGTTTAAATAATCTCTAAATAAATTTGTCAAAGGATATGAAATGATTGATGGTTTCAACTTGAGATGATCGATTTTTTGTGTGATGCCTTTATATGCTTTGGTTTAACCAACAAATTGTCTTAACATAATTTAGTCGAAATTACTCAAAGATCCATTGTTATGATTTAAAGTTTCAAATGGATCATTTATCTTCCTTTTTTCCTTCCAAATTTGTCCTTTTTGTATGCATTAACTCTCCGATTCTTAAGAAAAATGTCATTGAAATTTGGAGTTCGGCCTAAAGATAAGAAAAGTCTAAATAAAGATGGTTTCAAGCATGATTCAAGCTTTATATCTCTAAAACAATTTATCATTTCCTTAAACTACATAATAACTTGAGCATAATCACTCGATTTCAAAGTTGTTTAAGTATTAAAATACAAGCTCAATTGACACTCGATCATTTATCATTTAACCTTTTGCTAGTCTTTTAATAACTAGAGGCTAACTTAAGAGTGAGAGATGAATATGTTGTAACAAGAAACTGTAAAAATACAATAACATAAAAACAATTTTAAAATGTAAATTGAGCTAAGTTGTTAAAATAGTTTTCTTCAATAAATTAAATATAGAACCGGCATATCCACTTTCTAGAAAAAGTAGCATCTATTAAGTCATACCCACGGAGACGTAATAGAGCAGGAAACGTATGGCACCACATCTGCCTCTCTTCTAGAAGCCCACATTCCAAATAAGAAAAAAACAAATAACCAAAGTCATATAATATTACCAACCACCCAATTTCTTCTAGAAAATACATTAATTAATAACCGGAAATGTCACAAAACCAAACTTGTCACTTTCTCTCTTTTTATCTCTTCCCATTTCACGAAATTCATATATAATTTCTTCATTATATCATTATAAAGAACCTTAGAATTTTGCAACTATATATTAAAATTTTCTCAACATACTTTTCTTCATCTCTCTAATATGGTTTTCAATAAGGCTCCTACGTTCTTGCTCTTAATAGTTTTGATTAGTTCAATTGGAGAGAAACCTTCGATTGTAGAAGGAAGAGTACTTTCGTTAATATCTCATCAAGGTTAGTGACAATAATAATTTCTTGATTATATGATATGATATATTTGGATATATAGTATGAATTTAATTGAAATATACTGACAGTATCGATTGTTGTGTATGATGATGATGTTGTAGGGTACTCTAAGATTTTTGCGACGCTTGGAGTTATTTGCAAGTGTTGTGATGATGGGGTTGAAGGTGCATGCAAAGAAACATGGACAGATTCTTGTTCTAACGTACGGTGTTTACCTTGGAAAACATATTAGTTATAGTAAATCTTAGGACTTTTTCACATGTAAATGTTGTAGAAATTAGTTTTATGATTAGATCATGTTGCAGATTATTTTTTATAGAACTGCAGATTATGTGTAACTTTTTTGAATATTAATGGTGAAATTTGGGAGTAACTAGAGTTTCTTGGTATGGAAATCAATGGTTGGATACACCTTGTTTTCATGGCCGACACAATAATTATTAATTGTATTAATATAAGTCAAAGTTGCAGCAGTTTTTAATAGCTGTGGTTTTCTGTTTTGGTTGAATATGGCCATAGACTTTATGATAGGTATAATAAATTCAATGTAATTTTATCAGAGTATGAACCATAATTGGGCAAGCTATTGGGCGGTTGAGTGCCATAGCGGTTGGGTGCTATAGCATATAGTTTTGGAGGAATACGGAAAACAATGAGAATAGTTACAATTTGATTCTCCAAGGATTTATGTCCAAAGTAGAGTGAATGAGTATGAGTCAAGCATGAAGAATAACAAGATAGTGGTTGGAAAGGATTACACTTCGATCTTGACAGGACGACAACCACCGGAAAGAGGTTGGGTAAAGTTAAACACGGATGGAGTTTGTAGGAGTGGTATGTGTCAGGGTGCGGTGGTATAATCAGAGATATGCATGGAGTTTGTAGGAGTGGTATGTGTCAGGGTGTGGTGGTATAATCAGAGATATGCATAGAGAGTGTAAGGGCTATTGGTTATATGTAATTCAGTTAGTTAGTTAGGATTTTTCTATTATATAAGCATCATGCTTATTGTTTTGTAAGGTAATGCAGAATGTGTGAAGCAAACAGATACATAACACAATTCCTTTCCTCATCTTTTCTTATCAAGCATCAATAGAATTCTAAGCCAGAACTTTCAACAAACATATTGTGGCTTTCATCATCATTGTTCCATCAAATTGGTATCGCAGAGTCCAGTTCGATAGTTGCTGCCAGAAGATTCGTGAAGAATGGGAAATCACAACAACAACAACATCTCTACGCAGTTGCCAGTGTTCGAAGGCAAGAACTTTGATAAATGGATCATGAAGATGAAGGTGATCTTCAGGTTTCAGGAGGTTTTTGAAGTTGTAAATGAAATAGTACCAGCTTTAGCAGCTAATGCAACTGAGGTATAACAAACAACTCACAAAGAATTGAAGAAGAAGGATGGGAAAGCCATGTTCTTGATTCATCAGAGTGTAAGCAACGAAATCTTTGAGAAGATCATGCATTATGAAAATGCAAAGGAGACATCAGATGCAATGGAGAAACTGTATGCTGGTGATGGGAAATTGAAGAAGGTGAGGCTTCAAGCATTAGGAAGGCCGTATGAAGTGCTGACAATGGAAGAAGAAGAGACCATCAGTCAATATCTGGATAAAGTGATCACTCTCACAAATCAAATGATAAGGAATGATGAAATTTTCACTGATGTGATGAAGGTTGAAAAGGTTCTCAGAACCCTAACACCAAGATTTGATCACACTGTGGTTGCATTGAAGGAATCCAAGGATCTAGACTCCATGAAGTAGAAGAACTGCGAGCAAGTCTTGAGGCACATGAAGTGAGGTTGACTGATAGGATCAAAGAAAGAGGCAGAGGTGCATCTTCGGATCAAGCATTGCAGGCCCAACATGTAAAGAAAGGAAAATCCAAGAAAGAGATTCAGTGCTATAATTGTCACATGTGGGGACATTATGCATCTGAATGCAGATCAAAGAGGGTTCCAAGGAGCAAAGATTAAGCTCAGTTTGCTCAAAATGAGGAATCAGACTCTGATGAAGTATTGCTAATGGTAACAATTAAGGATGAAGAAGAAAGAAGTGATGAATGGTACCTAGATACTGGGTGCTTAAATCATATGATAGGCAAGAAATCTTGGTTTTCTGAACTAAATGACTCAGTAAATAGAAAGATAAGATTTGCAGACAATAGCATAGTGTGTGCAGCTGGCATTGGGAAACTATTGATCAATAGGAAGGATGGTAAGAAAGCTTACATTACTGATGTGTTATATGTACCAAACATAAAGAGCAACCTAATCAGTATTGGTCAATTATTACAAAAGGGATACACTATGAAGATGGAAGCACAGGCTATGAAGGTCTTTGATAACAAGAATAGGTTGATTATTAAAGCTCCATTGTCAAAGCAAAGAACCTTCATAATCAACATCAATGTGATTGAAGACCAGTGTTTGTTATTTGAAACTAAGGATGAAGACTGGCTATGGCATCAAAGATATGGGCATATCAATTTTAGGAATTAGAATATGCTTCATGAAAAGAAAATGGTGCAAGGCCTACCAAAATTAAAGTTGCCTGAAGAAGTATGTGATATATGTTGCACTGGAAAGCAAGCCAGAAACTCATACAATGCAAAGGTACCATTCAATGCAACCAGAAAACTAGAGGTAATTCACTCTGATGTATGTGGACCTTTTGAAGTAAAGTCAGCAGGGGGAAATAGCTACTTTGTAACATTCATAGATGAATTCACTAGGAAATTATGGGTTTACTTGTTAGCTAAGAAAAGTGAAGTTTTTGGTGTGTTTAAGAAGTTTAGACTGCTAGTTCAAAATGAAAGTGGTGAAGTAATTAGTAGGTTAAGAACTGATGGAGGAGGTGAGTACACCTCCACTGAGTTTCATGAGTTTTGCTCATCAAATGGCATAAGTCATGAAGTCACTGCACCATACACACCTCAACACAATAGGATCTTAGAAAGGAAGAACAGAACCTTGGTAAATATGATAAGAAGCATGCTGAAGCAAAAGAAGATGCCCCATTACTTGTAGGGTGAAGCAGCTACTACTGCAACATATCTCATAAATAGAAGTCCCACAAAGAAGTTGCAAGACAAGACACCAGAAGAAGCATGATGTGTAATTAAACCAAGTGTTCAAAATTTAAAGATCTTTGGCTCAATGTGTTTCAGACATGTACCTGATCAACTAAGGAGGAAATTGGATGATAAATCCCAAGTAATGATTATGGTTGGTTATCACCAAACTAGTGCATACAAACTATATGATCCAAGTAATAAGAAAGTAGTGTTCAGTAAATATGTAAAGTTTGATGAATCAAAAGGTTGGAACTGGAAAGATAAGGTATCACATAAGTGTGACAGCCACTTACACCTATCTGACTCAGAGACAGAAGAAGTTGAGACTGAGGAACAAGAAGAAACTGTTGAAAATACAAATGAAGGAGGTGAAGAAGTGACCAATAGACCAACAAGGAATACTCAACCACCAACCAGGTTGAGGGATTATGAAAGGTTCCCTGATCAACCAGTTACAGCTGAAGGTGACATAATGTAACTAGCAATGCTTGTTGAAACTGAACCAGTATCTTTTGAAGAAGCTCTTAAACAAAACCACTGGAAGAAAGCAATGATTGAAGAACTAGAATCTATAGAAAAGAATGAAACATGGAGATTAGTTCAACTACCTGCTAACAAGAAGTGTATTGATGTTAAGTGGATTTTCAAAACAAAACTGAAGCCAAATGGTCAAGTGGCAAAAATATAAGGCCAGACTAGTAGCAAGAGGCTTCTTGCAGAGGTATGGACAGGATTACTATGAAGTCTATGATCCAGTAGCAAGAATGGAAACAATCAGATTGATTGTGGCAATAGCAGTCAAGAACAATTGGTCTATGTACCAGCTAGATGTAAAATCTGCTCTCCTCAATGGTGAGTTAGAAAAAGAAGTGTATGTGAATCGGCCATCAGGATTTGAGATAGAAGAAAAGGAAGAACATGTCTATAAGCTAAATAAAGCATTGCATAGGCTGAAGCAAGCCCCAAGGGCTAGGAACAAAAAGATAGATAGTTTTCTTGTTCAACAAGGTTTCATGAAGTGTGTAAATGAACATGGAATTTATTGCAGAAATACCATAATAAGCTCATTGTATGCTTTTATGTAGATGACATGATAGTTACTGGAAACAATGAAGTTGAGATGGATGACTTTAAGAGAAATATGATGAAGATGTTTGAGATGTCTGATTTAGGCAGTCTCATAAATTTCTTGGGAATTGAGTTTGAAAGGAATACACAAGGAATGGTGATTCATCAAAGGAAGTATGCTCAAGATGTGCTGAAAAGATTTAACATGATAAACTGCAAGCCAACTTCAACTCCTGTTGATACAGGAGTAAAATTATCCCTGGTAAATGATGATGAAGAAGTAAATCCAACATTGTTCAAACAGATCGTGGGCTCCTTGAGATATTTGTGCCATACAAGACCTGACATTACCTATGGTATAGGGTTGATCAGTAGATATATGGTGAAACCTACCACCTCACACTTAGTTGCAGCTAAGAGAATCCTGAGATATGTGAAGGGTACACACATGTATGGGATTCAATACTGTAAGGGTCAAGATGGTGAGTTAATAGGCTACTCAGATTCGAATTGGAGCGGTGATAAAGATGACAGAAAAAGCACAGTAGCCTATGTGTTCATGATTGGAAGTGTAGTTTTTGCATGGAGCTCTAAAAAGGAACCAGTGGTTGCTTTATCCTCTTGCGAGTACATTGCAACTTCCATGGCAGCTTGTCAAGCTCAGTGGATCAACATGTTGTTGATGGAATTTAAGCTGGTAAAGAATGAAAAGATGGAGCTCTGGATTGATAGCAAGCCAGCCATAGATTTGGAAAAACATCCAGTAGCACACGTTAAGAGCAAACATATCGAAACTAAGTTTCATTTCTTAAGAGAACAGGTGAACAATGGAAGGTTGGAAGTGAAATACTGCAAGACAGATGAGCAGCTAGCCGACTTGATCACAAAGCCTTTCAAGACAAGCAACTTTGATCACTTGAAGATGAAGCTTGGCATGATTAAAGCATCAAACTAATTGAATTAAGGAGGTGTATTGGTTATATGTAATTCAATTAGTTAGTTAGTTAGGATTTTTCTGTTATATAAGCATCAGGCTTATTGTTTTGTAAGGTAATGTAGAATGTGTGAAGCAAACAGATA